GACGCCTCTCTAATGTTTGGTCAGTAACTGACCTTGTCTCTAATTATAGGCGCCCTGTAGGCAGAGCAATGGTGGAGACTCTCTTGTGTTTTTAGGATGGTGTCTTTTCCTCTCCCCAAAAGGGCAAGGTCTAATGCCCCTAGTACTTTTCGGCCAAGGTCTACTCCGATGGCTAGGTTGCTTTCCGGGAGCGGGATCGGGCAGTGCCCCTCTCTTTTCCCAAACTGTGAGTCATGTGTATACCAGAACTAGCCCTTATACCACTGTAAAAGTTGAGATTCTGGTGCGATTCTTACGGGGATCATAGCTTCACATAACTGTCATGCTTCTAATAGTGGCTTGGTATCAATCTAGCATAGTCCCGCGAGTTGCAGTGTGTCTGGCAAAAATAATGTTATCTCAACATTAAAATATCTAACATGATTACCTAGAGAGAGAGGTAGACTATTTGCATGAGAGCAAAGTCAAAGATGTGGACGTCCCGTGAGAGGGTTGCATGAACTGAGGCCGAGCTACGCATTGTCTTGTGGGATGGCTACCGTGGCAGAGGCTTGTTACACATAGGCCGAGTTACGTATAGTCTCGGGAGATGATTGTCGTAGCAGAGACTTACAAGGTGACGACACGCGTGAGAGTAAAGTCATATAGTTGTCGTAGCAGAGGCTTACAAGATGACTATATGCACGAGAACAGAGTCATATGGCTGTCGTAGCAAAAACTTAGAAGGTGACTACATTCGCAAGAGCAGAGTCATATGGCTGCCGTAGCAGAGGCTAGATAAAGCCAAGCTTCTTTGCAACTCGCGAGAGAGTGCGAAGCTGGAAATATAGGTTGCTGAAGAGTAGTTGATGCTTGAGTGGCAGGCACGAGAGGATACCGCAAAGCTTGCATGGTAGGCACGAGAGGATGTCGTGAAGCTGTTAGGGCTCGAGCAGCAGGCATGAGAGGATGCAGCTGAGAAGTTGAGGCTAGCACATGAGAGGGTTGCCCAACTTTGAGGTTGACCTTTGAGTAGCACTTGAGAGAGCTACTAGGACAAAGGCTCACTCCATAGGATGGAGGAGATGAGTAGGGCGCTAAGGAGCTGGGCGCCCGAGGTTAGGCGTCTAAGGATGGGCACCTGGTACTGGCACCTGGTGATGAGCACCTCCTACTGGGAGTGGATACTGAGGGGTTCTGGGCATCTTTGGGTGCAGACGCCGAGGAGCTCTAGGCACGGATGTCGCTGGGTACTGACACCGAGGGGTGATGGGCGCCACTGGGCATGAACGCCGATGAGAGCTGGTGCCAGGAGCGGAGAGGTCCTTCTTGGGTGATGTGCAAAAGGTGGGCGATAGTCAGCCTGGACGTTATTGACCTAGGTGATGCCAACCTGGGTGTTAGCCTAGGCGATGCCTGTTACTGGGCGTCTAAAGCTGGGCGCTTGGTGAGAGGGTCACTGTCAATTTCTCTGGCTTCGTTCCCTATGAGACACCAGTAGTAATTGGTGACGGGGAGAGCCTTGATTATAGTGGTTATGACTCAGGAAGCAATGACTGATCGTCGAGAGTATGACGACTGTTATCTTTTTGTCTACGCCTTGTTGTTAAGTCATGTTTTGACTTTTATAAGCTGTTTGTAAATTTTAGAAAAATAAGATAATTCTGGACACAATAATCTTCGCAGAATTTTATTTCATAAGATAACAAATAACATAATAAATAAGCTAAAACAATAAAGGATAGATAAATCTTCAGGTTCTCGGTGTCCCATAGGTGGGCCGAGGCTTTCTTGGCGGAGTTCGAATCACCTTCTCCTTCTAGCCCTCAGGAGTTCATTTGAATTTCTCCAAGGGGTTGTTGGCGTTCTCTGTCATCCTAGTCTCGACCAGGTGGCGGGACTTATCCTTTGCCAGCAACGTACTACCTCAAATAGCCACGTTGCATGAGTTCCTCGATTTGCCTTTTAAGATTAAAGTAGTCGTTCGTATCATGGCCGTGGTCGTAATGAAAATGACAGTACCTGTTGAGATTTCTGCGGTTTGGGGCGGACTTCATTTTTCTGGGCCAACAAAGTGTGGGATCATCCTATATTTTGAGCAAGATATGCATCACGGAAGCATTGAGCACCATGAAGGCTTGTCGTTCTCTCAGAGGTGGGGACCAAGGTGGTCCTTGGCAGATATTTTCTCTGTCGTATTCCTCTTGTTCTCTGCTTCTCTCCTGTCTTCATGGGTATCCTTGCTCTTTTAGCCCCCATGGATGGACTCACCTCGTTTGACCTTGGTGACATCCTCGGCATTCATATACTTTTGTGCCCTTTACAGCAACTCAAGCATGCTAGATGGTGGCTTCTTGAGGACGAAGAACATGAAACTGGAGGTGCGAAGGCCATCGATAAAGGCGGTCAGGGCTACCTTGTCATCTGGCTCCTCTATCTGGAGAGTCTCCTCCTTGAAGCGGGCAAGGTAGTCTCTGAGGCTTTCATCCCTGTCCTGCTTAATGGTAAGCAGGTGGATCACTAGTTTCTAATGTCGGCGTCCCCCAATGAAGTGGGAGACGAAGGATCTACTCAACTCCGCGAAGGAGTGAATTGAGGAGGACTTGATCTTTGCAAACCATTGGCATGTGGACTCCTTGAGGGTGGTAGGGAAGGCTCTACATATAATCTTCTCAAGCACATTGTGTAGTTGCATGAGGGATTTGTAGGTGTCTAGTTGGTTAAGGGGGTCCTTGGTACCGTTGAAGGTCTCGTTGGTAGGCATCTTGAAACTTCGAGGGTAAGCGATAATTGACTATGTCAGCAACAAAAAGTGAGTCAGTGCGTCTTACCAAGTAGTCTACTGTCTCGGGCGCTAGTGCCTTGATGGCGTTGAAGGCATCATCGAGCTAGTTTTGCACCTTTCTAATCTTCTCTCCCCACTGATTGGGGATATCCTTAGTCGGGTGGTGGTATTGGCTTTCATGGTCTCCATATTGGCTTCCTCCATCTTTGTTCTCCTGCGCAGGTACGCGGAGGGGGTACGCGAAAGCTCCCTACGCGCTAAGGAGGGATTGCCGAGATAGGGGGTGTCCTAGCGTGGCCCTCATGGTGGGGGGTTGTATGGCGCCTAGAAGGGATAGGTTGTTACTCCTCTCCCGTTGGAGGGAGTGAGACTCCTCCCACAGGGTGAAGGGTGACACCCCGTTGGGCAAGCATCAGCAGGACGATCTGCTGATTTTGGTTCTCTAGTAGCTGCATGGCTTGGAGGAGCTGTTGTTGTTGCCCGACAAGAGTCGTAGTAGCAGATGGTTCTACAAGTACGGTGGGTCGGGTTGTTGTCTCCCTGCTATTGGCTCATTGATTTGGTAGTGATAGTCATGAATTAAAAGACTAGGAAAACTAGTTGTTTTTCATAGACGGCGCCAAACTAAAAATGCACAAATTAATATTACGCAAAATCAACAGTCGAGTAAATTAAGAGACACAATTAATGAGTAGTAAATAGACAATCAATAACAGAACAGTAAATATGGATTCAACTCAGAGATTTATAGTGGTTCGGTCCGGGTGACCTACTTCACTCTCGAGAACGACAGCAGTGGACGGAGATCTTTATTGATGAATAATATAACTGAGAGAATATACTCCGGGAGTATTACAATGGTGAGGAGAGAGAAGCAATATGTGTAGGGTGGTGTAGTGTCAGAAATATGTGTAAGCAATATTATATAGGCTCAACAGGGCGGTGAGGAGGTGACGTGAAGGAGAGAGTTTCTACCATCTTGGTAAGTACAATTATGGTAGGATTAGAAGATCTCTGTAGCAACGTGTATCCCGAAATTCTCTCCTCGTGCTCTTAATCCGTAGAAAGAGGATCTTGAGCTAAGTTGGACTTGATCCTAAACTTGAACTTAAGTTGGAGTGGCAATGTGAAGGAGAGGGAGCATGGAACAAAAAAGAGAAAGGGTCCCCTTGGGATGGCATCCTTGGGCAGCACCCCTTGGGGTCTCCTTCGAGCGTTGATCACTTGAACTCCTCTTAGCGCATTAGGCTTGGGCTTCTCTGGGTACTAATGATTTGGACCCTTCTTGATTTACTTCCATTGAGTCTGGTCCAATTTATTTTGGGCTCATCAAGATCATTGAATTTTTTTGAAAAAGAAGTTGATAACTCAAGAAAAATATTATTTCTTCCAATGTTTTTATTTTATCTACTTTTTTTTTCTTCAATTACCTTTTCGCTTCTGGTGCTTGGTACTACATGCACACCAAGTGTTCTATCATTTGCCAAAAAAAGACCCAAAGAGACCAGTGTGACATTGACTTGTAGTAGTGTGACGTTGGTTTGTAACAGTGTGAATTTGGTTTGTAGTAGTGTGACATTTTTTAGTATCAGTGTAACATTGTCTTGTAGCACAGTGACATTATCGTGTACAACTGTGTCAATGCGATATGTACCACTACTATTTATAAATACATCAAATAACATATATATAAATTTAAAATTAAAATATTCATAGAAAACAACACCTATAACAAGCAATGGTATTATATAAGGCGAAATTATATATTTCTCATTACGATTTATAAAAAAAAAAAATTATATAAATGTGGGTATTTGACTAAAAATAAATATTTGAATAACTTCAATTGAATGAAAGATGAAGATATAATTCAAACTTCAAAACTATTATTCTATAAATTTAGGAAATTAAATTCCTAATAAAACTGTTAGATTTGTTTTCCATTAATAAAAGAAAAGGGCAAATCTGTAAAATAAAAATTTAAAAATCAGCAATAGTGTATTTACTCACCAAATATTTACATATAAAAGTACTTATAGACATATATTTTATATTAAAATACTTTTACACAAATAAATATAAAATGACGTACCTTGCCACAATTTTTTCATTCTAGGGATTTTATTGACATAAGTCGGGGTACAACTATGGGCCGGGCTGCGCGATGTGGGCCATCAAAAGAGAAGATATAATAAATGTAGGGCTCACGAAACCCCCAAAACCAAAACTCTAACCGGAATATACGTACATATATATGCATGTATACGATAATAGTTGACTGTGTTTTGTTTGCAGGTGCCAGGTGCGGAGGATTGATTGCCATGGAATGGAAGGAGGGCGGTCTAAGACGGTGAGATAGATAGACTGAGCGGTCTGGTCGTGTCGGTGAGATTTGTTTGTTTGTATTTATAGTTGGAATCGGAGATGCGGTGCAAAACTAGACATTCGAACGATGCCTCAAGCTCTGGCACTCGGAATTTGGATCCTCCTCAGCACCAAAATAAGTAAGCTGCTGCTGCATCTTCGTTTTTCCTTTAACAAAGACTAGTGGAGGCAGCGCAATCATAGTTTGGCTCATAATATCCTATTATTCTATTTCAGAAATCTAGATTTTTCAATTACTTGATGATTCTTCCCTATCTTAATTTTTTGTTTAATTATCTTATCTGACCTTATATGTATGTAGTCTGTATGAAGGAGAGCGTCTGGGTCGTTTTATTAAATCAATTGAGAGGTAACCTTTCCGGGAGACACAACACAACCATACTTGTTTTTACTGATGCCATATTATTAATGCACACCACAAGCCGTGTAGTTTAATGCTATAATTATTCTTCTTTTTTGTACAACAACAGAGAGATAGAGTCAGCAAGACTATCCAACACAACTTTACCACATAAATTCTGGCTCAAGGTTCCTGCTTTTTTCTTTTTGGGTCCTTTTCTTTGTCAATAGTTATTTTTTCATGTCATAAATTCAGGTGTTCGATATCTACGACAGTAAATCTTTGGTACTTTTGACTTAATTATTGATTTTCTTAGCAACAATTTTCGATTGGGGTCAATGAAGTCACGCGTGCTCTCGAGTGTATGACCCAAGGGTCCTCCTCTGTACAAGGCCATACTAAAGCTTCTTCAGTTCAGCTTCAGGTTTACTTTACCTTCAATTTCCATTGCTTGCATCATCCGACAGAGTTGCCTTTCCATACACATTTACTAATCTGTGCGCATTTACCAATAATCAAGTCACATTTATTTGTTTCTCATTGCTTACACACAATCATTACTACTTGTCTTTGTTGCTATGGTAATCTCCTTTCCTCTCCTCTCCTCTCCTGTAATGCACTTTCCAAACCTTGATATTTCCGTTAGAAAATCATTAAAAGCACTTCATTAAACTTTTATTTTGGTACCTTCCGGTGACAAAAATTTGCAAAAAAGAATGAAGAATGGAAAAGCAAGATAGCATTAATTTAAGTTTCAGCTTTAGCCTTTAGGTCATGGCCATTAGCAATTGGTTCCAAGAGGAAAATCCTTTCCTATTTGGTGGGTGTTGCATTTTGATGAAGAGATCCAGAATCTGTGATTCAATTGATGGTGCATCGTCAGGTGTCTTCTGTCTGTATTTGTTCTGTTCTGTTTGGTGTGATCGCTAACCTGGATGAGACCCTAGATTTGCTAAAGCTGTGAGCTTGAAGGGTGTGACCAGAGCAATTTTTGTTGAAAATCTAAGTGCTCAGTTTGACTAGCATTCCCCATTAGCTTTTTTTTTAAAATTTTTTTGGTCATATTAACGAGGTAAATAAGCCATCTTCTATTTTGCTGGTTCTTTGTTCTTTCTTGTCATTTTTGGTCCTCTCCCTTGATGCTTCAGCTGTATTTGGATTCACTCCCTACTAAGCTTAGCTATCCATTGAAGATAGAAAGAAATCGTGATAATTGGCACATAGGATATGGATTGTTTTTACCTAAAACATACGATTACGATGCAGCCGAAAATAGAGGCAGTGTCTGTCTTAAGGCCACCTAGTTGGATAATCATACAGAGCTGAAAATTAGCTTTGCGTATAATGTATAAATATTCATCTGAAGAGGGTACCTTACCACTTGCTCTGTGTTTGTAAGTCCCTCACCGCCCACTTAGTATAAGGATATGGTCTATTTTTGGAAGCTATCATAGTTGGATCCTACATTATGTGACAGGTATACATTCTGAGGACTTTTTATCCTCATCTAATCTTTATATTCACATTCTTGAGTTAATGAAAGTTTTTTTCACCTTTGACATTAGAAAGTAATTAGTAGAATGAGATGATGTTTCTCATTTGATGTAGGCCATACTATTGGCATCTGATTGCAACCCACGATGGCTGACCAAGCATCTTCCAAGCTTGGCCTCATCGAGGAAGGTACCCCTGATCTATGTGAAAGATAAGAAAGGAGGTTCTCTAAAGCTAGGTGAACTGGTCAAGCTGAAAACAGCAATTGCTATTGGAGTTAAGGTGAATTGTGTTGTACTTAACTGTACACACAATTGTTTATTGTTTGGGTTTTCTCTCTACTTGTGTTCTTTCACCTTACATAATCAAATCTCTTCTCATGTAGGCTAGGGGAAATGCCCTAAATCGCATCATCGAGGAGATTCTTCGTGGTAATGAAATCCCTGTTGGCATGGAGGGTTGAATTAAATAAGTTCCCTGTGGGGACCGGCTTGGACTTGGGCTTGAGCTTTATAATATACAGTTTGCAACAGAAGGGGGTATTTACTATGTAGTTTAAACCACAATCAGAGTTACCATACATGGTCTAATTCACACTGGTTTTCACTATTGCAACCGTTTGTGCCGCATTCTAAATATTGAACATGGCAAGCATTCAGATATAGTTATGTTAGCCATGAATATGATTATTTGTTTGAATCAATAGAAGGAATCTGGGAACTAAGATGCCATCCACGCATCAAGATAGTGATTGACTGTTAATATCATATCGGATTTATGTTAGACATTAGCGGCTTCAATGAGGTCAGGTGTTCATGTGGATCAGATCGCGATCAGATTCAAGTGAATTTATTGCACATAGATTTGCCTTGGTGATTGTCATTTGGTTTTCCACACTTCCCTTTGCTTGTAAATCTCTCCAACTTCAAAAATCAATACACTCATACTTCGCTGTCCTTTTGATTTGCTAAAACTATTAGGTTTTGTTTTCCAATTCTAACTGTGGATAAATTCAAAACTATTTAGTGTTTACTTCAACAAATAGCCCTCTCCTTCTCCATCCATCAGGTAGGTGCACGGCACGTAGCATTTTTATTCAGAGTTAAAGATTGCAGTTAGCAATTCAGAATTCCAGTTCAGAGCTTCCGTGCTAATGCTGTGTCCTAAGATGGGTAAATGAAATTCCGCATCCTGAATATGGTTGTCGCAACAATACCTATTCCTGCATCATTCCCACATTAGAGTCAAATTGCACTTTTTTTAGAAATGCTAGACACACTCTTTATCAATTTCTTTCATTACTGAGCAATGGAGCAGCCCAATATCAATAGCCGTTGAAAATCTCGTCACGCTATCAACATCAATAGGAGAGAAAATCATATGTGAACATCAGAAATTGGTTGACGCTTAATAAGAGACACTGATTTTTAATAGCTTCTTCCCCAGTAGGTCCATTTCTTGGCTGGTTTGCCCGAGGCAAAACGCAATTTATCTGCACAGAAACAGAGCATCATTAAGAGTGCAAGAACATGTAATCAGTTTGCAACCCATATATAAATTGTCTAGTTTATAAATAGTTTTGGCCTAAAGTAGGAAGTGGTACCTCTGGGCAGTTCTGGTTGGTCAAATGGAGAACATAGGGTTTTAGCTGCACCCATCTCTGATCTTTCCTTTTGTTTGTGCCTTCACATCCTTCTCCACCTCCTACGGCATCGAAACAAAAATGCATCTAACTGAACAAACCAGTCTAAAGAGAAGTTCGACCTCAAATAACATCCTTTCTTCAGGCAAAAAGAAAAAGAGAAGTAAGGAAGCAGGGGTTAGATTAGTTGGCGCGATAGGGTAAGCTTGGTTGGTGTGCAATGTTGGGGCTTGGTTTCCTTTGTAACTCTTATATATATCAGTCAAATAGAAGCCTTAAGCTCGAGAAGGGGAGAGCCTATCCAACTTAGTGGAAGCGAGTTGTTCATAGTAGTTCCTGCCATCCAGTGAGTAGCTTTGTTACTAGCTCTAGACTTGTGTAAAAAATTTAAGTTTATGTAACCTAGTATAGTATGTAATATCTTCCACAAGAACACTAATTTGCCATGGGGGAACATCCTCAATAGAACTCAATTTGATAACATTGAGACAGTCATTCATGATTGTGATATTTGCCAGTAGTCTTAAATCAGCTAGAAGACATGCTTGTTGCACCGTCGCTATTTCTTAAAAAAGGCAAGACATAGCTAGAATAGACTTTGCTACTCCATCCACCAGCTTTCCCCTTGAGTTGCTTAACACAATTCTACATGCGGCCTTAGAAGTTTTGGAATTGAACGTACCATCACAACAAAGAAGAGTTCCTGGCCCTGTCTCTTGTGATCTCTCCTCACTGACCATCGGATCCTTTGGCATCATAGGAGTGTTCACAGCTCCCGCACCAACTAATTCATTCCACATACTTTGTGCTCGAATGAAAGTGGTGTAAACGCTAGGCTTCTCGTAGTTAAACACTTTTTGGTTCCTTGTCTTCCAGATTGTCCATCCCACTGTGGCCATTTTCCCCCCAACTTCATATCTACCTTGAGAATCCTTCACAATTTCCAGAATCTGAGAAGATCTTTGAGCAATGGAGACAAAGGATGCCTTCTCTAGATTATATGCCATCTCAACCCCAAACCAGACTCTACTGGTCCATTCACATTCAAATAATGTATGCTCAATAGTTTTTGGGACTTGCTTACATATTTTGCACAGTGGCAATGAGGCACATTTTCTCTTGTATAGATTCTCCTGTCATGCTAAAATGTTATGGCAGGCTTTCCACCAAAAGTGTCTAACCTTTGGCACTGCTTTCATATTCCAGATGACTTGCCACAGATTAGGGTGAGGGGAGAAAGAAGAGCTCGTTTCCACTGGACAATGGCACATTTTGTTTCCCACAAAGTAACCTGATTTCATAGCATACTCTTCTTTTTTTTTTGGCCACCAAATTCTCTTCTTAGCACCTCTTCTTACTGGCAGTGGAATGGCTTGGATAGCTTTCATTTCTTTCCTCGACATGGAATTTTGGAGAATTAGAGAATTCCATTCTTTCAAATTTTCCTTTATAACATCAACAACTTGAGTGATGACACTCTCTTGAGGTTTTGGTGTTTGAATCAACAAACTTGGGAGTTGGGGGATCCATTTATCTTCCTAGAAATTCACCTCTTTGTCATCCCTAATCTACCACATAAGGCCTTTCTCAAGAAGCTCTCTCCCATGGAGCAGACTACTCAAAATCTAGGATGGTCTTGCTTCTTGTTTAACTTTCATAATGGGAGAGAGCTTTAAGAAACTTCACCCAAAAGGCATTGGGATACTAGATCAGTCTCTAGCATTGCTTCGCCATAAGTGATTGGTTGAGTAGTTTAAAGTCTTTAAATCCCATTCCTCCTAATGCCTTTGATTCTGCCATTTTTCCTCATCTTTTCCAACATATTCCATTTCTTTCCTCATTCCCCTTCCACCAAAAATTTCTCACATAACTATTCAATTTCTCACACAAGTTTTTGGGGAAATCCACCACTGACATGACATAATTTGGGATGGCTTGGATAACTGCCTTGATCAGAACTTCCTTGCTAGCTTGTGAGAGACATAGGCTTTTCCAACCTTGCAAAATTTTCAAAACTCTTTCTAGCAGATATCTGAAGACTTCATTCTTTGAACATCCCCAAGCTGTAGGGATTCCCAAGTACTTAGCGTTATGAAGAAGGCTCTGCATTCCCATTAGATTATAGAATATATCTTTTGATCCAAAGTAGTATTAGTTGAGAAAATAATGCCTGAGTTTTGTTGATTTGTGCACTGTCCTAAAGCTGCACAATAACTCTGGAGAGTTCTTATGAGTTCCATAACTCCCTCCTCCTTTGCGTTAATGAAGAACAGAGAATCATCAGTGAAGAAGAGGTGGAAAATAAATGGGTTTCTTCTTTTGATCTTAATTCCCATAAACCTTCCATCTTCTATTCCTTTAACAGCATGGTAGAGAGAACATCAACAACAAGTATGAAAAGATATGCGGATATAGAATCACCTTGTCTAATCCCCATTTGCGGCTTAATCTCGCACTTTCTTTCCCCATTCACCACCACTTGGAAACTCACTGTACTTACGCATTGAATGATAAGATGCACCCAATGGCTATCAAAACCCATTTTGAGCATTGTTGCTTCCAAAAAATCTCATTTGATTCGATCATCTTCTTTGCTTATATCCATCTTTATCGCCATTTTAGGGATCCTGCCTGTCTTCTTTCCTTTTGGGTGGTGGAAAACTTCATTTGCGATGATAATACTATCATGAATCTATCTGTTAGGAACAAAGGCAGCCTGGTTTGGTGATATGATAGAGCTTAGAATCCCCTTCATCCTATTCGCCATTACCTTTGGGATCACTTTATACTGGAAGTTACACAAGGTGTCCTAAATTGTGCAATAGTTTCTAGAGCAATGTCCTTCAAAATAAGAACAATGTTAGTGTGATTAAGTTCTTGCAACATCTGACCTCATTTGAAAAAATTCTTTACCATTTGATAGACATCTTAACCCACATTATGCCAAAATTTTTGATAGAAGATGCCTGGAAACACATCTAGACCAAGAGATTTTAGTGCCCCCAATTGTTTCACAGCTCTTTAGATTAATCTCTTCCTTCCACCAAAGAACCAAACCCCCCCGATAAACCCAGAGGTTCCACATACTCACAATTTTGGAAATTCAAAGATCTTCTCAATTATTCTAATTTATGAGACTTATTTTTAGTCTCAATAAGAAAGACGACTGAGAAATGATGGGATTCTATTAACCCTCACAAATTTCAAACTGTCCATAGTCGTCTCACTCCCTGACAGTTACAAGATAGGATTAACATGGGGGGTGTAACTGTTTTAGGTCAGCCACCACCACCTTTTTCATTAAACAAGGCGATTCTCCCTTTTCTGGTATAGAATTGGGTAACTGAGAGAATGGATACTAGAGATAGAACATCCAAGGGGAGAGCCTATAACCAACTAGCCTACAAAGGTTTAAGTTATTCTCACATTCCCCTTCCATGCTTGCATCTTCTTCCTCTTTTGGGGAAAATTGTTGCTGCTTGTCTTTGTCCTCCATTTATGCAAAATAGATTTCAACATTAGTCCTTGTGTTTGGTCCCCTTCTCTTCTTGAAACTATTTTTCCTTGACTGGCGCCTTGATACATTTCCTCCCCAGTGTTTGAGAGGGTGAGATTGATTACAGTAGGATGCACTAATTGAGGGAGGTGTTGTGTAGTATCCCCTGATTCGATTCTTAGGACTATTTTGTTTTTCTTCTAGGTTAACGTTTGGGCTTCCATCTCTACATTATCCAGCTGGGCTTTCATTTTCAATGACATATTTTGGAAATGGATCTCCATTTTATCTCCTGTTTCTTCGTTGCAAATTTTTGTAATTGATTGGGCCTCCCTTGGACTTCTCAACATTATCTATGGGCTCTGTAACAAAGTAAGGATCTTCTCTTGTTTCTTCATCTCTAATTGGGCCTTTTTGAGATCCAGTATGATAACTGCTTTGGCTCCGGTCTTGCTCCACTATCGATATCAGAGCCATGGATAAAGTTGGAATTGTATGCCTAAGGCCATGTGTCTGATAAAAAAACACTCGTATAGGTTTCGTACCTTGTGGAATTGTAACGTCGCCTATGGGCTCATAGTGGATATCAGACCCTTCAGCATGTGGTACCGTACTACTGTTTGGACTCGCATGCACCACCAGTTCATCGTCATCTCTAATCAACTGTTGTTTTTCCTTTAGTTTCTCCCTTTTCTCCATAGCTTCTCGGGTCTTTAAAGACCAAGTTTCCCTGAAGAAAGAAGACGATTGGTTACTCTGTGCCCTCATTTGGGACCATAGTGACCATGGGGTCCATCTGAGTGTCTTTCTATGCATCGACTCTAAGAATGGTCAATCTGACCACATTGGTAGCAAAAGTTGAAAAGTCTTTCGTATTTCAAGTTGATCCAGATAGCATCTTGCTTTTCGCAAGTTAAGTAGAAACCCTTTTTCAAGTGTTCATTCAGATTGATTCTGCATTTGACCCTTAAAAAACTTCTCTGGATTTGAACCTCTCCTTCAAATTCTTCAAGTTGTGTTGGTTCTCCAATTACCATCCCTATTCTCCACGAATTGTTCTTTGTCATCATATCCAATGGTGATCCCCAAATCTGTACTCAGAATTTGGTCTTCAGAACCAGCAAGGCACCCATTATAGACCATGGGCCTTCATTCAAGATTTTGTTTCAATCTTCCTCGTCCTTAAACATGAACATATTCGTGTTTCTTTCTCAATAGGTGATCGAGAAACCTTTTAATGTTTTCCATGAATTCTGTAGAACATTGCACACTCCTTGTTTGTTCAAGCTTGTTTCTGTAATGAATCGACCCATTAGGCAAAACTTTTGGACATCCTTAGAGGTGGAAGGGTTTGTGTATAGTGAGATACAACGATAGTTGATAGAATCGGATTTAGCTTTTGCTTCCTTTTCCATGGGATTTTTGTTGTTGAGATGACTGAGGGAAGGTAAAAGAAAGGAACAAAGATACAAGAGGTAATGGGCTGTGGTGGTATTGGGATGTTAAGGTTTATATAGCATTTGAGGGTTAGTGGTAATGGGAAGTTAGGGTTTATATAGCATTTGAGGGTAGGGTGTCTGGTTCAGAGCTATTAGGATTTCCCATATTGTGAGCATATTAGAAATAAAGGAAGCAAGATGTATTGGAGATTTAGGGTTTGTGAGGGAGACGAACTTGAGGGTGCAAGACTTTCCAAAAGGAAGGTGATAGAAATTGGAGGGTTAGGGTTTGAAAGAATGATGGTTATGACTGGGTATGGTAAAGTAGAAGGAAAATGCTATTTAGAATTAATCTAGAGATCTAATTCAATACAATTACTGAATTGGTTGTACATTTTATCTAACATTAGTACTCGCAATTAATCCAATGGTTGTATTGAAGACACATCATTAAATTCTCAAATTTAGTCTCCTAAAATGAATTCGAACTTTCGATTTATCTTTTTGATGAGATCTGCACCTTGGGAATGAAAACTATTTTAGGAATTTCCCACGCAAGAGCTGAGATATCCAACTTAGAGGAAACACCCTAGAAAGGGCAGAGAGCTCTCATTTCGATATAGCTTTCATTATTATATGAAATATAGAAAGTTAGCTCATAAATGACTTATATTTCTAATAACAGTTAAAAAAAACCATAATCCAAGACAACGTACTAACTAATGGTTGTAAATAATAAAAGCTAGTTGTTGCATATTTGTTACAGAATGAATTCAAATCAAAACAATCCAAAATATAAATTTACAGATTACTAGAATAAAAAAAAAAAACCAATTAGAGAAACGATTTGTGTTTAGTGTTAAAATTTGAGATTAAATAAATTTGTGAGAAAATTTGGGATTATAGGTTATAATTTTCCAGTTTCAGGTCGTGCGACGCCGACATGTGGGACACTTGACAAATCTATAATCTCGGTATCTATGGTCCATATAACAAGATAAATGTTAACAAACACAATCACTTGCGAGGTGAATGAGTCTAGCTTTATAGTAATTTTCATGTCCCGTAGACAACAGTATTACAAGTTTCAACCGATATCATCACATTATCACAATTGCTCTCCCAACAAAGAATATGTCGTTTTTGTACCTGGAATCACTCTTATATGACTGAAACAGGGAACTGAAACAAAGGAGAAAAACCGGGAATATAAGAAAAAGAAAATAGAGGAGCATAATAAGAAAATAATACCAATACATTAACAGATGACTATAAAATTGAAAGATACCTCAGAATGCCACTCCCCAAAATTCTCACCCTTCTTAAAAGGTAGGCCCAGACCAGTCGATCTCTTTTTTCACTTGCTTCGTCTTTCCCTTTGAGTATTTGAACTGAACAATAAAGAACACACGTATTACAGATAGAGACTGAACGGAAGTTTTTAAACCGTGAAGAGAGTTTTTACAGGCACTCACTGATGTATACATGCATCCAAGTATGAATCTACTTTGATAAACTAGAATTGGATGTGTCAAATGCCTCTGTTCCTCATCACTTACAAAGATAGAGGTTGAACGTGGCGTTGAACTCAGTTCCTCATCACTTACAAGATATGAAACCCAACAGCTCCTCAACCCAAGCCGAGCACTTCCAATAGTGAAAGTCGCGTTGAACTCAGTTGAACCCGAGTTCCACTGCGCCACGACCACCACAGCCAAAACTTTAACTTGCATACTCTGTCGACTCTCGAGCGAGCATTGAAAATCACAAACCCTCAAACGCAAAGAAAAGAATCATTCCATCTGAGAGTTAAGTTTCCTTTCCGAATTGACAGTGAGAGAACACATCAATACGTAGCTTCCAGCGCCATCAAAACTATTTATGCATCAGATCAAGAAGGGAGATGTGTTTTATTGTTCTGCCTTGACATATTTGAATTGGAAAAAATAATAATAATTCTTATAAAAGTTACAGCGAGTATAAATATTTGTCAAAAAAAGTGAGGGAGATGTTCTCAATACCATCGCCAATTCCAAGTGACTTGCATAACTTCACCGGGAAACAGAAAGAACGACGAGAGAGAGAGAGAGAGAGAGATCACATGCCGGCACATGGTTAGATGCAACTCCAAACACTCGCTCCTTGTGGAGGTATATTAGCCACAAAAAGATTCGGCTCCTTGCTTAGCTTGGTTCAGGTAGCAACACTTTCAAAGTGAACACTGCTTTTCAGCTTTGTTCTCCCTTCCTTCCCTAGTCAAAGTCTGAAGCTGTGGGAATCTCGCCTCCTGCCAATTGTAAATTTGCATTATTAGCAAATGCCACATTCGTCGTAGCATACTTATTTTCAACAAAACCAATTACAATGAATTTCTGCAATTATGTCAAACCATGGTTATGTACTCGTCCTGATTTACTCCTGTAATATCAAGTCACGTCAAGTCAATTTAAAATTTAAACTAACTGCTGCATAAGACCATTCTTTCCTACTCACCTGCTCATATGGAGGATCTTTGTGTGCTGGTATCAGCCGAGATGCTAAATATCGAGCCTGCGAGCTCCCCTCCTGTTACAAACACAAGAACCACAACATTCTCCATTTATTACCCTAACCATTACTTGGCAAAATAAATGATATTCGGACTTATTTACCCCTTACTTTTTGGCCTTTTTTTCCGAATGGGGGTGGGGTGGGTACTGTGAGTGCAAGATCCTGCACAATATAAATAATAGAACAAATCTCTTCCACGGTGAACACGTGTCCGAAATTGGGTGGTTGGTGTTACTAGTTGAACAGGTTGTGAGGGTCGAAGGTGGATAATCAATCTTTGGTACGAGTCGTCAGAGTGATCCTGGAAAATTGAATGAGGTACCTGGAACAAAGAAAAATCGGTTAAAATGGCGCCGAAGTGTTTTTCGGCGTATTCCCTCCGACGGTCCAGTCAGTTCTTTGAGAGAGGGGAAGAAGAAAACACTATATAATGGTTGAGAGAGGGTTTTTTGTGTACTCTTTTTCTGTATTTGTGAGGACTATTTATACCTTAAAAACTCATCATTACTGACAGCGTAGCTAATAGATAATTATTGGGGGTAGGCAGTGTGCACACTAATTTCTATGAGTAATGATCTTATTCTTTACTACTCGGGACTCTGAGCAACTAATGTTCTCTCCTCGGTCTGCAGAACGTTTAATGATCTTCTCTCGGCGGAAGTGTATTAAATACTCAGACTTTGAGACATTTATTATCTTTCACTTCCGAGCTCTCATACATTAAATGTTGTCTAATCAAGGGAAATGTGCATTAAATACTTGATTTCCAAGTCGTGTGTCAGCAAAGGCATTTTGGTCTCTTTGTCTCTGATCTGACACAATACACCACGTGTCCATTCCCCTTTGGTTGAGTCTTCTGCTTTCTTGTGCCTCCTGACACCATTTGAGTAAAACGAGGTCATGATAACTAGTCTAGCCTTACCTAAACTAGTGATTTATCCATCAACAGCCCCTGTAAATGCAGAAACACCGACGCGATAGATACCCCTCGGTGTCGAGGGATTAGCATGATTTAGGACCGATATAGTCAAAATTGTCGAGGAATACGTGTCGATCCATGGTGGTTTGGGGATCCTTGATCCCTGTAAATAGTATTCTCGGGACAAGGGATTAAAAAATCACGAAGACATGTCAATATTAGAGTAGATGTCTCTATTGACGTTGAATACACGTGTCATTATCGGGGAATATCTGAAAATATCCCATCGGATACCTTAAATGTGAGGATCCGAGGAGCCGGAAACTTCATTGCAGTGAGCTCTTGAGCCAATGTTCTGCAAGCCACTGAAGCTGGCGCTTTTTCCTCCCTGAGCAGCAAGTTCAGCACCCTATACAACAAATAGGGGAAAAGTTGAACTTGGCCCACAACAATTTCTTTCCTAATGTGAACCCAGTCAACGGGACGATGGCCCGAAGCAAACTTAAGCATGAGGTATAATCGCTGCAAACATAAAATATTTCCAAGTACAATGTTGAGTACTCACGATATTTTTTTGTTGATTAATTCCTTAAATTTTATATGATCAATACATTTGCGGGAAAAAAAAAATCATTTCCAAGCACAAACATCGGTAGAAACACCCTAGACCAACAACCATCTTGCCAAATTGTTTGCATAATTAAAATAAAAGTTTCAATTTCATCAACAATGCCAAATAGCTGTGACATATATAATTTCAAATATTCCCTGTTGCCCTCCTAAAAAAATGCCAAACTACAGATAAGTAAATTGGTAGACTAACTATACATCTCTAGCATGTTTATATGTATGTCAACCCCCAAAAATATTCTTATGTTTAATATAACCACAAACAGATTAGACAACATCATGAATTCGTCAGTATTTTGAAAATGTGTTTATTTCCTTACTAACCAAAAACTATCTAAAAGCCACTTATATACTCATTAGGTTAGTAAGTTACACACATATCCTTTAAAACTATTTTTAATATGATTAATTTTTATTCTTTAATAAACACAATAAATTAGATAAAAATATGTAACAGAAAATTCAAAACTCAATTAAAATAGATATTCAATGAAAAGTTTTAAAAACTTAATTTAATTCTTATAATCCCCCACAAGTTTTTGAAATTTCAATGTATCTCAAATATTTTGAATAAACTTTAATATATAAAATATGGGCAACTATTATACTGTGTAGGTGTAGGTGTCTTTCGGACTTGAACCTCACTTAGTGTTAACAGTTTTCCTCTGAAGGATCATAGTGACCAAAAGCTGAAACTATACCTTTTAAACCAGAGTTCAACATGTCACACACGCAGTATTGATATTAGTCAAGATTTGCGGGTCAGTGCTATTAATGGTCTTACACTTGACCTTGATTCTCATGAGAGTTTCTAGAGAATTGTTCAATTCTCATAGTCGTGGTCTTATGACTACTCTCACTTAGGTGAGCCCCTCCAAAGGTACACATACACAATACCCTGAAAGAGTGTTCCTGCCTCGATCTCATTCAGGATAAAATCATTCCTTACCGTCACACTACTTATGCACCTCTGTCATAGGGATGAGCGTGAAAATATCTCTTCTTAGGATATTTTCTCAACAACGGTGCTAATGAGTCACGCAATATGAATTGTTTCTACCCATTGAACTTCTTTCATAGGGTTCCTAATCACAGAAGTTAAATTACCTCCCTAGGTGACTCCCTTTTGGGTTTAGGCTCATCCCGCTCGACAGTTTGTCAGACAACTTTTATCAAAAGTATGACTTTCCTCGAAAGCTTAATGATGAAATTAATCATCTTTTATATATTCATGTCTCATGATTTTCTTCGAAAGTTGTATAATTATTCGTCAGCTTAGTTTTACTGAGATTTATAAATTTTTTTTTTTTTTAAAATGATATCATTCTTCACAGATGAAAATCTCGCTCGAGCGTCCACGCCTCCATTTCTTCTTATTGATATTAATCTAACCTATCTCAAACATTACTGATCAATACCACATTAAAATACATTTGTTTGAGACGATGTAAGGGTCACAAATAAATCACTTAGGTAAGAAACAATTTATATAAGCATCTCAATAGAGTGTACCGCTGCAATTTTTAAGACCAATTGACAGATACCGAAATACAACTTATAAGAATTTTTTTTTTGTTCTCCAACCTACCTGTCCAACCTGTTTCAACTTGTCGGGCCTTTTATTTGCCTCCCGAATGGTTATGGCCGGTTGGTTATATGCATACCATACGTATTCAAGGCAAGTAAGACCTCCAGTTGCCTATTCTTGATGATGGTGATTAGCCACCAATCACAAGTTTCGGACTCACTGCATCACTCGGTGTAAAAAGGTAGCGATGCCCTTCCAGTATTGTCAAATATTCATTATCCTTACAATTGCATAGTATCGCCAGAATCATAGCTTGAGCAATTGTTGGAAGTTTATTATCTCCAGAATCATTACTTCTTTACACCCAAAAAACTGAACTACATAAGCACGCAATTATTTATGTGAATAAGCATATATGTATTGGGATGGAACTTTTAGATAGTACATTCTTCGGTTACTAAAAAACATAGTTTCTCAATGCAATAATAGCGGCAATTGCTTACAGAAGTAGCATCTCTCTCTCTCTCTCTCTCTCTCTCTCTCTCTCTCTCTCTCTCTCTCTCAAGCCATTCGGAGTTTTCGTGTTCGCTTTACAACTGGGGTGTTATATATGATGGATCTATGAAGTCTGCACTGGTGAATTTGCTGCAAAAGATGAAAAGTTTGTGGATGTTTTTTACTCCTGGCAAATGAATGTGTTTTGACTTGATGGGATTTGTAACGTTCCTCCTGCCTCATTTTTTTAGCATTTTATGTTCCTACATATCTGTCTGGTTGGATACTTGCTCTGTTATTTGGCTGAGATGAAATCAGTTATTTTATTATTTTTCCTACTTTTCTTTTTGAAAGAATCGTTTCAGAGCCGAGGTTTTTTTGATAGAATCACTTCAAGTTGAAATGTGAAGCGGCAGTGGTGTAGCCGAGGTTGATCTTCTGATTATACTTTATTTCTGGTGCTCGGTGTTGTCACTATTCTGTCTAGCAGTGAGACTGAAACAACCAACAAATTGTTGTCATTAATGTTTTTGTTTGAAATTATGTAATTTTTTTTATTGGTATTCTATGATATTTGTAGTTCAAGTGGGAGTATTTAAGTATTTATATTCAGCTGCTTTAGAATGTTGGAAAAATTAGCATAATTATAAATTATTTTACTTAACAAAATAATATTCAGATCACAAACTAACAAGAATATGCAAATAAATATAAAATAACAATCAATTTAGAATATAATAAAATAAATTCTATAAATTAAAAAGAGTTGGCCTGCGAGTACGAAAGTCGTGTGAACACTGTCCTAAAACAACTAAGCCTCCTCGCGAAAGGGTACTGATGGACACCAGCGACTCCAAGATCAAACTCAGATACTCGCAATAGCACCTCCTCAACGGTCACGCCCACTGGAAGAAATGAGTGAACATGACTCAAATTGAAGTTGCCCAAAAAATAAACTAATAGATGATAATTGAAAAGTTGGTCAAGTATAGAAGAATTGAAATAAGCAATTGGAAGGTCTCTAGAGTGTTTATTTCCTTACTAACAAAAACTATCTCAAAATCACTTATATACTCATTATGTTAGTAACTTGCACACATAGCCTTTAAAATTATTTTTAATATACTTAATTTTTATTCTTTAATATACACAATAAATTAAATAAAAAAATATAACTGAAAATTCAAAACTCAATTAAAGTAGATATTCAATGAAAAATTTTAAAAACTTAATTTTATTCTTACATTAAGAGCAAAGACAAATCTTTCCAGCAAAAGCCAATGACAACTAAAAGTTCACAAGAGTGCCTCATAACATATTTTCATAAATTTGACGAAAAAGTAAAGAACAAAAGAACATGATATTTACATTGTCAAATTCTACTTGAAATGTAAATCACATAGATCCATGAATAATTAACAAGACCGAAACAAGAATTCAGAAAACATTTCCTGAAAACTTGATGTCAAATGTGTGAAGGCAAATATAAATCAAATGATGCAAAAAGTCAAGAACAGCACCATAGATCAAACAAACGTACCTGCACTAATATGCAAAGCTAAAGAAAACTCTGGCTTCCCATTTTCATGACAATAACTAGTTGTTCCCACCCAAAACTCTTCTTTTTCTTCGGGGTGGGCTCAATCGTTGTTCTGCTACTTGGTACCATGAACAAAAATGGCAATTTGTCATTTTCATCCTCCTCAATTTACAAAGACAAGGTTCTAGAGGACTAGACTAGGCAGTCATACTTGCAGTCCAACATATGCTTCTTACACTCTACCTAAAATCTACTTCTAACTTTACTTTCTAACAAAACTCAAAAAGTGGAGCACGAACTGAAATTAAAAAGGAGGATAGGGCTAGCCAACGAGAGTTCAAACACAATTTATTGGCACGAGGCAAAACAGCATGACAAAACAAAGAGAAATCACCATAAAAATGCAGCATCGCCACCCAGCAAACTTTGTTATGCCAAAACAGTAAGGAGGTAAGCTAAGTGACATACCAACAAAATGAAGACGCAACAACCAAATGAAGACATCTGTCACATGGTCAAGAACAACTGCCACATCAGACTGCATAGCAAGGTCATGAGCCGGCAGTTCTTCAAAAGTCCCACCTTCCCGATGCATTAGACATCGAAGTGCTACCATTAGAAGTGACAGATCAAATGACGCATTCAGAAATAAATTCCGCAGTACAGACCTCTCATCTTCATGCCCAACAATGCTTCCCAGAAGTGGGCCCCTTCTAAGATGAAATAAGAGCTCAGGCAATAATGGGAGCTCCTTGGGTAACAAATAAAGCTTTGACTTCGGGATTTGAGATCCAAACTTACTAGCAACGTCTTTAACTCTTTCATCTATTGTTGTTCGCATATCAACTGCATCAGAAAACTCATTGCTCGCAAGATGGTCCTCTTAGAAATACGAACAGCAGCCACATTATATTGAACGCTGTCAAGATACGACGGAACACTATCCACGGTGGCAATTTTATGCTCCGTTTGATATGATAAAAAAATAGAAGAATAAAAAATTAGAGGGATAAATAAAATATCATATTTGGTAAAAAAGAAAAATAAAAATGATAGAAAAATTGATAGATTTACTTTCCTTCGAACTCACTAAAATCAATCTCTCAAACATCGAAAAGAAAGTTGATAAAAAATTAATTATTTGTGTTAAAATGTGTCTTATTTGTTTATTAGTTATTATTTGTGTCCGAAAGCACATAGTAGGATTGTCAAAATCCGACATAACACGATTAACCGACAAATTAAGCAGGTTTTAGTGAAATCTTAACAGGTTTGGGTGATAAACAGGTTGACACGCCAAACACATTTAATAAACGGATCGTGTTCGGATAAAACCTGTCAAACCGTTTATCACACATTTACCCGTTTAAATAAAATTAATAATTATTTTTAAAAATTAAAAAAAAAAAAAGTAAAGAAATCAATAAAAAAAAAGTAAAATAGTAATAGTTTAAAGACAAAGGAGAAGAGATAAAGAGCATTTTAAAGACAAAGACAAATCAAAACATTTTTTTTTGTTTCACATTGAAAAATGAGGAGAAACGGAGAAGGCTGAGTTGTAAATAAAAGGCAATGACCTCTTGCTTTTTTTTTTTTAAGTCTTCAAGTCTTATTTTTATGAGATTTAAGTAAAAATTCCTCTTTTTTGAGATAAGTGCAATTGGTAATAAAAAAAAAGTGGAGTATTAAAATTTGTTAATATAATTTTTTTTAAATTAAACGGGTTAAACAAGTCATGTTGTGTTACCCATTTATTAAATGTGTCGTGTACACGTTTATATATTTTTCACTCGTCACCCGTTTAACCCGACACGTTTGACACTCATAGCACAAAGTAATAAAAAATGGTAAACAATAAATATATTTGTATTCATATCCAAAATTAAATCACAAACATAGAGAAGAGATAAAAAAATTTAAACATCGATTTGTAGTAAGGGGTGAGAAGTGGTGGGCGACAGTAGTGGTGGTAGAAGATGGTGATGGTTGTAGTGTGTGGCAATGACAGCAACAATAGTGGTGGTGGCGGCGACGGCAACGATGGTGGTGGTGACAGGAGTGGCGGTGGTGGGGGTGGTTGTTTACCCTATTTAATTCAATTTTAATAAAATATCTTTTGATTATGTGTAAAATTCAAATGACATTTTATTTATTCACCCTTTTTTATATTGTATATAATTCTTATTCTTTCTCCTTCTCTCTCTGTTACTCTCTCACTTTGTCTCCCATATTTTCTCTCTCTTTCTCTTTTCTCTATGTTACTCTCTATCTTTTCCTCTATTTTCTTCTCTCTCTCTCTTACTCTATCTATCCATCTCCTATTTTTTTTCTCTCTCTCTTTCCTTGATAATTTAGTTTCTTTTCAAATATATAAATATTTGATTTGATTTTTCAACTCTCTGTCCCTTGATATTCTCTTACTATTGCTCTCTCTCCCCCTTATTCTCTCTCTACTTATATCAATATTATAACAAATAATAACACCAAACAATTAACCAGTTACAAACAAACAGTTACACCAATAAAGTTACAAAAGAGTTACAACAAATATGTATTAAAAGAGTTGTACCAAAAAGTTAACCATCTATAAATAAATAGTTATATCTGTGTAACTGTTTAATAATTAAATTTTAAGATTTTCTATTTCACATACATGCATTCATCATAAAAAATTTCAAATTTTATTATTTTCATTTCATCAAATATGGGTTTGGATTTTATCAAATAAAAAAATTGAACTAAAAAAAAACACAAAGAAACTCGTACTATTAGGCGATTAAAATGTCGATTGTAACCCCAAACAGTTACTCAAAACATATATACGAATCAAATGCCTTGAATCTCAAATAGAGGTACTTCACACTGTAACATAAACAATAAATTAGTATAACTATTTAAAATTTGTGTTTTTTAAAATTTAATTTTTTTATATGTTCATTCAACATAAAAGAATTCAACTTTGTTATTTTCATTTGAAATTGTTAGTGTTTTTTAATATTAGTTTGGCTTCTTTCGAATAGAAATTGCAAAAAAAAAATTTGAAAACTAACAACTAAAAATCAAGGCTGAAACCTTGAAGGTGAACTTCAATTTCTGGAGAAGAGGATTCCAACGATGGAAAACAATTACACCAAACCAAAATGCCGAACAATTACACGAATAGTTATAAGAAAATAGGATATCTTGTTCTTCCTCCTTTCTTTAAAAAAAAAAATTCCTTTTGATCATCAACGATTATTTTCTGGTGTTATTTTTAGAATTTGTTCATAAATTTATTCGAATCTCAAAAAACACCAAAGATGAATGGACACTTGGTTTAATGCTACTTTTTTTGCCCCTTCATTCCTTATTTGGAGCCAAGATTGTTGTTTGGCATTCAAACGAGGTTTGATCTTTTTTTCCTTTTAATGAATGACCTTTTTGTCATTTTCTTAAAAAATGTATTTTTGTTCAAATAACTTTCTTTGTTGTAGTTTATCTCAATTAAGTTCAAATTTTTGTACAAGCTTCTATTTTATCCTTTTGTTTATTTTGTACCAATAATCTGGGGTCTGAGTTGTATGTGTAATCTAGACCTGATCTACGTCTCTGAATCGGGCCTGTCAATAATTTTAACTGAGTTGTATTAGTTTTGAGATTTTATACTTTTGATGAAAATTTGGGATTAATTCAGTTAAATGAGTTTGTGTAAAATGTTATATTAATGTTAGCTTGGAACATGATGAGCTAATAGGTTGATTTAGGATGGAAAAAATCTACCTAATAAGATAGTTAAGTTAGCGCTTAGAATTTTATTTTTATATATTTTTCTGATTATTTCTATCACAAGTTGATTTATATAACTTTTGATTAATTAGTGGCTCAATATAATTTTTTTTATTTTGAATATTGTTCATATATGATAGTGTACACACATTAATATTTTTTTAAGTTTATATATTTTGATAAAAATTTGTCAATTTTTTTAATAAAAATGAATAAAACTTAATTTTAAATTATGTAATTAAATAAAGAGAAGGAAATAAAAATTGTTATTTCATATAGTAGAATTATTTTTTTAGATGATCGAATTTTATATTGTAACGTGCTTTTAGACATAATTATTGGTAGTATTTATTTATGTGAGGAAAGGAATTATTAAGTGTGTTTAGTTTGGGCATTTAGGAGTTAGATTGCATAATGTGTGCTCTATGCTTTTTTTTTTTAGTATTATTATTTTCATTTGAACTTTTATGGTTGGACTAAATCAGATACTCAAATATTAACTTAAATAAAAATAGGTAAAAATAAGTTACAATTTTTTTTACAAATATTCTAATAAAATTAAAACTTATGTTTTATTCAAATATCAGATCTCACCCTCGTTTAAATACCAAAGGATCCTATTTCACCAAACTATTATGTACCTTTGTTTCATCTTTATCTATTTTTTTTAAATTCATAGTTTTGCCAAAGTAAAGTCTTTTAAAACTCAAACCATTCGCCAACACAGTCATTTGATAAGTTTAGATTATATTTTATTATTTTAAATTTTGCAATTAAATATTTATATATATTTTCTTATCGCATAAAAAATATCAAAATAATATAACAAAAAATGAATGATATTTGCTTGCGCTTCGATAAACGACACGGTTCGCTCTCCCTTTCCCTTTGGCAGCCAGCCAGCCAGCCGGATTGCTAAAATCTTCCTCTCTGCAGCTAGACGCAAAACTATAACTTACCACCATCCAAACCCTAATAATCAATAATCTCACCACTTAAACCACCACCGCCGCCATGGACGACCCCCGAGCCAACGGCAAATCCACTTATGAGCACGACCACGACCACGTTTACAAAAAACCAAAGCTCTCTTCCTTCATAACCGAATCCGAAATCCGACAAGAATTCGGCCACCACCAACCTGGAATAGCCCGAATCAACAACGGCAGCTTCGGGAGCTGCCCGGCCTCCATAATTGCAGCCCAGAAGCGTTGGCAGCTCAAATTCCTCCAACAACCTGACCACTTCTTCTTTAACCTCCTTCAGAAACGCATCCTCCATTCGCGTACCCTAATCAAGAACCTCATCAATGCCGACGACGTCTCCGAAGTCTCCCTTGTGGACAACGCCACCACTGCCGCCGCCATCGTCCTCCAAAATATCGGCTGGGCATTCGCCCAAGGTCGATTTCAGAGGGGCGATGCCGTCGTCATGCTCCACTGCGCCTTCCAAGCCGTGAAAAAATCAATCGAGGCCTACGTCACTCGCGCTGGTGGGTCCGTAATCGTCGTCCGATTGCCATTTCCTGTTAATTCAAACGAAGAAGTAATCGCCGAGTTCAAAAAAGGCTTGGCCAAAGGTAAAGCCAATGGTAGAAATGTTAGGTTAGCCATAATTGATCACATAACGTCAATGCCATGTGTCGTGATTCCCGTACGTGAATTGGTAGATATCTGCAGAGAAGAAGGTGTTGACAAAGTGTTTGTCGATGCTGCCCATGCAATTGGTAGTGTTCATGTTGACGTGAAAGAGATTGGGGCTGATTTTTATGTCAGTAATTTGCATAAATGGTTTTTCTGTCCACCTTCCGTAGCATTTTTGTATTGTCGCCAATCGCCTATCTCGCACGACTTGCATCACCCTGTGGTCTCACATGAATATGGGAATGGATTGGCCATAGAAAGTTCGTGGATAGGGACACGGGACTATAGCTCGCAGCTTGTTGTTCCTGAGGTTTTTGATTTTATTAGTGGCTTTGAAGGTGGTATTGAGGGAATTAGGAAAAAGAATCATGATGCTGTTGTAGAAATGGGACAAATGCTAGCCAATGCCTGGGGAACGAATCTTGGGTCGCCTCCTGAAATGTGTCCGAGTATGATTATGGTTGGTTTGCCTGCAAGTTTAGGGATTTTAAGTGATGAGGATGCTTTATGTTTGAGGACTCATTTGCGGGATTGTTTTGGAGTCGAAGTTCCTATACATTATCAGGCACCGAAAGATGGCGAGGTTGGAACTAGGGATTGGGATGGTTGTACAACAGGATATGCCCGGATTTCTCATCAAGTTTACAACACGGTTGATGATTATGTCAAGTTTAGGGATGCAATTAATCAACTTGTCCAAAATGGCTTAACTTCCAAGATGCTTTCTCGCAAAATAACAAGGTGTGCTTTCTGATACCTCTAATATACAACTTTGGGGATGAATAGATTTCTAGAGATATATGCAATGCTAGTTGTGCTGTCTTCTGGGTAGAGTCCTTTAAGCTCTGTGTTGGCTAAATTGTCAAATGATTAAATAGTGATTTGGCATGTCGGCTAATAGTGATTTGGCATTTCTTCTAAGCTCCTGAGTCAGAAAATTAGATGTGTAATAATGTGTTGAGATAACTAACAATCGTTAAGTCTCAAATTTATTCTTAGCTTCTGTTTTTTCTTAATCTATATCTAAGAGTATTGCCCTTAATAAACAGGAGTATCAACTATCATCTGACATAAATTGCATGTTTCACCAAATCTTTCTAGCAGTATCAATGTATCATCAGGTGGATGGACCAAAAAAGGGGCCCTTGTCAGTTTTTCTATCATTTTTGTTCTTTGTTGACCTCCATAAATATTCTAAGTACCTTTTACCCCAATACTGGTGTTTATTGGTTTGTCTGACTGCACTATGAAGAATCAAGTTTATTTCAAGGCATTTAAATTTAGAAATGACATGGGAAATGTGAGTTTTTTTCCTGAAAATTGTTATTTAAACTGTTTTTACCCATAGCTACCAATGTCCTCATTTTAGGAAGTTTATGTGGGTGTTTCTTCAATTTCATTCCAAATTTTGTGTTGAAAAGAAGGATGGACTCTTAAATGGAAGACATTTAACACCTAACAAGCTATAGCAAAAAGTGACCAGCTGTAGCTCATATTTGAGTGCCTTAAAATTGATGTTGCGCATGCAACAGTGCACCCTGCTTCTATACCTGTCTCCCCCCCTTTTGTTGATTTTACCATCTATAGTTGGCTTATTGGATAGTCACTAGTCATTCATCTTTGTAGGTGGGGATTTACTTCTCCTATTTGGATTGGTGCTCAAATTTCATTATGCTGGTACTTTCTGTAATTAGGCTTATTAAAAAATGAGAATATATTGGCTTAGAAAAAGGGGGTAAGCGGTGTTTTATTGTGGATTGAAGTTTTTAGTTTATAATTTCTCTGGTCCCATGAGTTGAAGGGTATGTTGTTCAATTAACTCTTGACTTTTTTACTATCCTTGCCGGCATGCCTTAGAATACTTTGAAATATGAACTGGTGATTGATATTCTGAACCAGTTGGGTATGGTCCTCTGAGGAGTGGCAACTTGTTGTAGGAGGTTCAATGTAGGGATCAGTCAGTTGGTTATGTGGCTTGTGCATAGTGTGGGCAATCCATTTCTTTCTTGATTGAGGGGTTTGTGAGAAGTGTTTTAAGGTAAGGGATGTTTGCATTTGGTGGAATGGAATAGATGATCTTTTTGAGTGGCTTAAGAGGATAGTGTTTAGTCATTGTACTTATTGGCTTTAAATGTCTTTTAATTCTTTACACTAGAGTTTCTGGGTGAGCTTCCATTTCATGTAGATCTGTACCTGGTATACTATTGTACTTTTTGGCTTTGGTGACACCTCTTTTTTAGCACAAAAAATAACTTAAAAAGAAACAAATGGAAAAAAAAGAAAAAGAAAAAGAATAGTATAATCATCTTGTGCAGGGCTAAATTAACTTAATGCGTCCGTCTAATGTCCTTCTGGTTCTCTTGTATTAAAGAAACAATGCGTTAGATTGTGCGAGTTTGGTAATGTTCAGAAAACGTGTTATTAATTTTTTTCTTCTTCTCATGAAATGCAATTATACACATTAAAGGGAGGAATTATCCTTGTACCCTCGATGAATGAAGTTACTGGCTACAATCCTAAATGCAAAATTAGGATGTCCACATCCAAGCCTGATTCTAAGCTCTATAAGAAATTTCTGTTCGCCCAGATATCAGCTCTTTGCATTTACACTTGATTGTGTTGCATGTGACAGTCCAACTTCTCTCTCTCTCTCACACACACTCACACATATGGTGTTTTATAATATTAGCAACCCGAAGCATACAGATCTTTGCAACTAGGGAGAAACATATCATTAAATTTTCATATAGCTTACTTGGTTGCAATAATCAAAGTGGTAATTATTTTGCATCTTAAAGTATCTTCCCTGATTAATTTCCATTTCATGTTTGGCAGCCAGTTAACAGACTAGTGGAGGAGTCTTCCATGGAGTAACTCCATATTTATCCTAATTCCAGATGCCTGTGGCTCGTTTCCTTTTCTAAACAATTGAATTCCGAATTTTGTGGTACGTATTTGCTGAAGAAGCTATGGAAGCTTTACCACAGAAGCATAACGGTCTTTTAGTTGCTTTACTAGCATCATGTGAGGCCCTGCTTATATATGTCTCAAATGATTGCCGGTGAAATAAACTTGTAAATGTTGTGATTCAGCAATTCAAGAAATTTCTACTGAAGCAGAATTTTCTGCCTCGTTGCTCTGGGTCGTTTGTTCATGTTCAACGAGTTTCTGCTGAATTCGAATTCCCTTGGAAGATTACACATACTTTTCTGTATGTTACATAGTCTTTTTGTTGCTACTTCCACCAAATCTTAAGCCGAGAAGGTTGAAAATGGATCTGTGTGATTCCAACATGTTGACAAAAGGCTGCATGAATTTTTTCTTTGCATGTAGATCGATCCAGCACAAAATGGTTGCAGTTTAAAAGAGATTATTAAAAACAGTTTAAAAATTGAGAGATTGTTAAGAAAAGGAAGTATTCTTCTGTTGGTTTAATTTGATTATGGCAGATGTGGGTTGGGTATTCTTCTCTTCATATAAGGATTCTATGAGGCACTCCAAAGCTGGGGCAGGAAGGAAGCAAAGAAGGAAGGTTGGTTCACAGGTCGAACTGAGATCTAAATTGATTGGTTTCATGTCATTATTACTGTTAGATATTGTCAAATCTAGTGGAATTCCTGAATAAACAAACAATCTTGCGAAATGAATATTCCCACCAATGAGTTTTGAGTCCTCAGCTGGACTTGAAAGCCACGGACAAGTCGGTAAACACGCTTGAAAAGTTATTTGTACTTTTCTGTTTATCGATCATGCACAGTGACAGTTATTATTATTTGCTGCACTGACTTGTTGCAAATAACGCTGCGTGCGTTCGGTAAAATACTTAAAGCGGACTTATTCTCTTTCTCTTTCCTAAATGGTAACCTGGGAGGCAGTTGAAACTACAAACAATATTCCCTTAATTAAAAAATCTAAATTGGACCCGTCATCATCCATAAAATCTTCTCAACTATAGACTAGCATAGCATAGCATAGCATAACATAACATAGCAAGCAAGTAGTGTCTTTATTATGATTCCATCTTCACGTTTCTTTTTATTTTTGCAAAAATCATTGGATTTGTCTATTGTCCCCTTTTTAAGTCCCGCTTGTTCCATTCTACTAGCAGAGTTTAGCATATTTAGACAGAATGATAAGATTCAAATTCAATCAACAATCTTTAACGATTCAATCGTTTAAATTAAAATTTCAAGTTCCAAATAGAACTAGAGCCAAACATTAAGGGTGTCTTTCGTAAATTGGTCTTTCTTTTTTTTTTTTTTTTGGAAAGTAGTTCAACAAAGAGCTGGCCTTTCCATACCACCAAGAGTATTCCAGAATGCACTTATTTTTAGCAGGAATAGACTTACATTCAAAAAGCCGAAAAATAGAGAACATAAAAACAAACCTAAGATGAGGTGGTCATGTGTAGTGCAACCAACGAGGCATAGAAACCATCTTGGATGTTAATTAAAGTGTCGTGCTTCCCTTTCTCTACTATGACTCCATTTTTAACCACAGCAATTACATCCGCTCCTTTAATTGTGGACAATCGATGAGCCACCACTACTGTTGTCCTGTTCATCACCACTCGATCTAATGCATCTTGAACAACCCTCTCTGATTCAGCATCTAGTGCACTAGTAGCCTCGTCCAAAAGTAGTATCTTTGGATTCTTCACTATAGCTCGTGCAATGGCCACTCTCTGCTTCTGTCCACCGGACAACTGGATGCCTCGCTCTCCTACTACGGTATCATATCCCTGCATTTTGCATGGTTGGAAGATGTTTTGGGGTGGGGGGTTGTCAAAATTACTGCAAACTTCAATCAACACAAATGCTGATTAATTTGAATTCAACCAAATGCGTTCTGACCTGTTGCAACCCACTAATGAACTTGTGGGCATTTGCCAACTCTGATGCAGATATAATTTCTGCCTCAGTCGCATTTCCTTCTTTTCCATAGGCAATGTTAGCACGAATTGTGTCATTAAACAAGACTGGTTCTTGGCTCACAAGCCCCATCTGCTGCCTCAACCATCGCAATTGCAACTTTTGAATTTCAGTTCCATCAAGTGTGATGTGACCTGAATCGGGATCATAAAATCTTTGCAGTAATGAGATCACTGTCGACTTTCCACTTCCACTTTCGCCAACCAATGCTACCGTCTAAAGGAGGTGATGCACACCAATAAATTTTCCAAAATGGAACACTAAATTGTGTAATGACGTACATAAATACTTTTTGGTTGAAAAAATAAACGGAAACATGCATAAAGCTTCACCTGGCCGCTATGAATGGTCAAGCAAAGATCTCGCAAAATCTGGACATCTGGTCTAGTTGGATACCTAAAGCTTATATGTCGTAGTTCCATTTCTCCCTTCACATTCTCTAATGTTGTCCCAGACTCATCACTTGGGTCTATTTTTGATTTACGATCTAGAATGGAAAATATTGATGCGGCAGCAACCTTGGCTTTCCTCGAATCTGGAGCAAAAGAGCTAGATTGGGAAATTGCTAGAGCTGCCATGGTCAGAGCAAAGAAAACCTGCAAGATAAACTTACTCCGTCTCAAAATTATTGAACTAGACGCATAAGCTCTCTATAATACGTGCCTACTTATATGGATTTGATGAACTTGTAGAAAAATATGAAAAACTCTACTTACACGAAAAACATCTGAAAAAGTTATTTTGCCATCCTGAACAAGCCGGGCTCCCGCGTAAAAACTAGCTGCATAGACACAAAATAGCAAGGCAAAAGATGCACCAAACCCTATCCCACTAATCAACCCCTGCCTTACCCCTGTCTTCAAAGGGCCCTCACATTTCTTTTTGTACATTGCCATCACTTTCTCTTCTGCACAAAAAGAAGCAATTGTCCGTATACTCCCGACAGCATCATTAGCAACTTGGCTTGCTTCCTCATACATCATCTGCAACCATTTATTTTTAAATCTTCATGAATAATACAAACAAAATCCCAGAAGGTTTCAGAAGATGCTGGCAATTGCAATAGAATAAAGGTGAAATTGCAGAAACAAAATTTCAAAACTTGTTGCCTTTATTATAAATTAAACAATCCTTATTGTTTTCATATGGTAACTTCAATATTTTCAGTTTGAACTTTATTTTTTTTTTCAACCCAAAATGTATGGTCATGAGATTGAGAACAAACCTTGGCATCTGCGCTGAACCCTTTCATAAATTTAATTTGAACGTATCCATTAGCTCCTATCAAAGGTAACAAAGCGAGAACTATAAGTGCCAGCTGCCAACTTGCTTCAAAAGCAATGGCCAAACCGGTAATCCCTGATGTAGCATCTTGAACCATTTGTGCGAGTGCATCCCCAACTAAAGCACGTATGGTAGCTGCGTCAGTAGACAGTTTTGCACCAATCATTCCACTTGAGTGCTCGGGCTCATCAAACCAACTGACCTCCATGTTAACCACCTTTTCAAAGCACATCGATCTTATTCGTCTGATTAATTTACCCCCAGCCACAGCAAAAAAGTACGTCCTTGCCGGATAGGCAATCAATGATACCACTCCAAGGACTACAAACATTAGTGCCCAGAATTTTGAGTCTTTCCTAAGTTCATGTGGTGTCTCATAAAATGTTTTGATCACAATAGAAAGTAAAATACCAAATAGTGGCATTATTGCACCATTAATGATAGCAAATACAGATCCCAATATCAGCAACGGTATTTCAGGCTTGTTGTAATGGGCAAGACGACTTAGTGAGACTTTTGGAGTCTTTTCTAACATTTCTTGGGTAAATACTTCAGGATCTGTTAAGCCAGCTTCACGAACACTAAGCGCTGTAGGCAGACCAAATGAGACAGAGAGTGAGTGGTGGCTACTATTTCCCACTCCAGACGATCCTCGACTTATGGAACGCAAGAATGACATACGCTGACTTGACTGTCTACCAAATTCTGTAGTAATTTCTGACTTTTCTTTGTCATTTGCATCTTGTTCTGAATCGTTATTCACTTCTTGCAAACGAATGAGCTGAGAGTATGCTCCATCAGGATCTTTGAGTAGTTCTGAATGTGAGCCTGGTTTATCAACAAAACAAATAATAATTATGTATTGCTTTTCACTATAACATTGTGAAAAGGCAAGAATTTATTGTTTTCTGAGCAAAAAAGTATTTAGAAAATTACATTAATAAATTTAAGTTATTCAAGATTGAGTTGAGTGGGAGAGACAAGGCATAGAACAAAGATGCATGTGTTTTTCTCAAAACAATTTGGAATTACTTTGGGACTTTTTAAAAATTCTGAAAACATGATTCGACCACACAAGAAGACTACATGTTGTTTGCACACGATAGAGAATTATATAATTAGGTAGTCTGTTAAGATACCTTTCTCAACCACCTTTCCTTGATGAATCACTGCAATCATATCGGCATTTATCACTGTGCTCAAACGATGTGCAACCACAACTGTTGTTCTGTTGACCATAATCCTATCTAATGCCTCTTGTACAATTCTCTCTGATTCTGCATCAAGCGCACTTGTTGCTTCGTCAAGAAGGAGAATTCGTGGGTTTTTTAGAATTGCTCTGGCTATGGCAATTCTTTGCTTTTGCCCACCTGACAATTGGGTTCCATGCTCACCAACCATGGTGTCTAGTCCCTAAATGCAAATTTTAAAATTCACAAGTTAGGTAACAATTCTGGTGTTTATGAAACGAAGAAAAATATCACAATAACAAAGAAATAGAACCAAGTGAAAAAACAAGAAGATAATGATACAATGTTCCTGAAACCAATAAAAGCAAATAAAGTGTAATCAAATGGAAAAAAAAAATTAGAACCTGAGGTAGCTTATCGACGAATTTCGCAGCATTTGCAAGCTCAGCTGCTGCTCTGATCTCATCAATAGTAGCGTCATCCTTCCCATAGGCGATATTATCCTTAATACTACCTGTAAACAACACGGGTTCTTGGCTGACAAGACCAATTCTCTCCCTGATCCATTTAAGTTGGAAGTCTCTGAGATTAATTCCGTCAATAAGAACTTCACCAGCTTGTGGATCATAAAATCTTTCTATCAAACTGACCACCGTTGACTTTCCACTTCCACTCTGTCCAACCAAAGCTACAGTTGTGCCACTCGTAATTGAAAGAGAGAATCCAGAGAATATTGGTTCATTTGGCCTAGCCGGATAACTAAAGCAGACATCCCTTAGCTCTATATCCCCATGAATGTCATCCATTATCTTTCCTCTGGTGTCATATGCATCTATATCTGGCTTTCTACTTATAGTCTCAAACATCTTGAATGCTGCAGCTCGACCTGCAGCAAATGCACTTATGCATGGAGATGCCTGTCCTAAAGACCTGAAATAAATACAATATTATGTGGTTTAAAGTTCAAAACTTTTAAACCAGTTAAAAGCCATTTTTGGCTCCAGAGGTAAATAGAATTATTATTTGCTGTACGAACTATGCTCAAATACTTTTATAAACTAGGAAATCAAATTAAATAACTTACATGGAACCTGTTAAAACAGCAACAATTACATTGAGCACTTCACCCCCTGTATAGTTTTTCTTCAGTATCATTTTTGCACCAAACCATATAGCCAATGCATAACTGCAGAACATAATAGACATAACTGCTCCAAGACCAAATCCACTAGCAAAGCCTTCGTAGACACTCGATTTGTAAGCATCTATAAGAGACTTGTTGTAATTAGTCACAGCTTGCTTTTCCCCCGTAAATGATGCAACCTGGATAAGAGTCCAAACGGTGACCATACTCTCACTTGAACATAAAACGGCAAACTAGCATATCCTACCAACCAATGCATTCTAAGGGTTAGGCATGGATGAAATTCTTGATTAGGGACATACCGTCTTGATTGAACCAATTGTCTGTTCGACTATAATGGCTGCCTTTGCATAAGCAGTTTGCCCAACAGTTGACATCTTCGATATAAAGATGGACATAATTGCGCCAGCGATCACGAGGGGAGGAATAGAGGATAACATTACTAGTGTAAGAAGCCACCCTTTGATGAAAGCTACCGCAAAGCCTCCCAGAAATGTGGACACCAGTTGTATAAATTTCCCAACCTGGAGCAAAACTAAATATTACTCATGGGTAATTAAAAAAGAAAAAGCACTTTTTAATTTTAAGATTGCATTTGTAAGATGGCATATATAGTGGCCTCCGTGGAAAGGATTATGTAGCCATCTGTGTTTTTTTTTTTTTTACTTGGTAGTAGTACCTTCTCACCCATGGCATCTTGTATGAGAACAGTGTCACCGGACATTCTCCCGACAACTTCTCCTGTATTTGTTTCCATATCAAAGAAAGCAACATCTTGTCTCAAAATAGTTTTCAAATAAAGGCTCCTTATTCGTGCTGCTTGTCTCTCTCCGGTGATCATCCAACTAGCCACCTCTAAAAAACAACCAGAAAGGTTTTTTAAGCAATCGATAGTTCAGACCTTTGTCCTTGCATTAAATTTCAAACTAGTGTACATTTATATGCAGGTGAGATGAACTTACGGAGGAATGCTGCCCCACCGGCTCCCAAAGCCAAGTAGACAAATTTCAGTGCCACCTAAAAAATAATCAGACAACCAATTAGTACATTGTAATGTACATATGTGAACATATCAGAAGGGAGGGTGGCAGGTGGGGAGAATGAACAAGAAAATTTGTTAGTTCTCGAGTCCTTGACAACTAATTAGCTTATGCACTAGAATTAAGAAACGGTCAAGAAAAGTTTCAGTAAAGAGTAATTAGTGTTCCAATTAGTACTCAGACGTCTCCCATTAAATAGAGATTGCAACAAATTGAAAAATGGGAGTAAACTGTGACTAGTATTTACCTTGGAAACTGCTCGAACCACGTCACCGTTATTTTGGTTTTGTCCAAAAGAATCAGTCAATTCACCGAAGAGTACTGTCATGAGGGGTAAGCACAACCCATTACCAATGGCACCAATTGTACCGGCGATCATCAAAATATAATCAGTGGAATCAGCAAATGAGAAAAGCTTGCTAAATGGAACTGTGTTGGTGCTTTCGGAATCCTGATGACTTGCATTGGTGGCTGAGCTTGTCGTTTCCAGCGCATGGCTGTTTGATGTGGAGGCGGCCTTCTCACCCATGTTTGTATGGGCATCCTGGCCGTTTTGCTCGGCCATCTGATTCTAAATCTGCACCGAAGAATGATTATTAAGAATAGTGGCATGGCGGAGATAAGCAGATTAGGCCAAGCAGAAACAGTGGACAGATTTAAAGAAATTGGCGGCCCAGGATTGAACCAAGGAGACTTCATCTACTGATTGAAAGACGAAAAAGAAATGCATTGCAACGGATAATAAAAGAAATTTCTTACTATGTTATTCTACTAAGAATAAAAAACCACCGTCAGCCCCATCAATTTAAAAGCTCCCCATTTATCCAAATACTAAATATACAGAAAAAAAGATCTCATAGTAGTAGACTCTCTCTCTCTCTCTCTCTCTCTCTCATGACTATGTTGGGCCAACAAGAGAAAATAAAGAATTAAATTATGCTCTGTATTTTGCTATGAGGAAAAAAAAGAAGGAAAGGGAAGGGAAGTGAAAATTATTCTTCGTAATAATCAAGCATCCATCATTACACAACCTAAAAAGGATCAATACTCCAATCTAGGAAAAATTGGTTCAACAAGAAAAGAAGGGAAGGGACGGGACGGGAGGAGTATAAAAATAAAGCAGCGTATCGTATCTATAGAATAAATAAAAAATTAAAGATAGGTAAGTAAAGCCATAGTGAGAAGGAGGAACTTACACAGACACAGAGTCTGATCTCAAAGAAAAGGGTGGGGGTGGGGGTGGGGAGGGCAGGGAAGACTGCAGCAAAAGTATTCCGGCCGGATCTGGGCAGAGCGCTGGCTGGCTGGCTAGTTCCCAAGCTCTTTGTGTTTTCCTATTCTACTTTCTTCTGTTTTAATTTTTGGAAATCTGTGCGATCGGATCAGTCTGTCCGCCGACTCTGACTCTCTCTATCTCTCCAACAACTCCAACTAACTCCAACTCCCAACTCTATTAATAATAATGTGTACTTGGCACAGCTTAACTTCCTTGTAGAGCAAGCATAAAAATAAAAATAAGAGTAATTAACGGAAGGATTTTGCCCACGCACGCTTATATTGTAGTCAAACAAAGGCGTCCAGTTCCATATTGTCAGTCAGAGTCAGCTTATTCAGCCTGCCTCACCATTTTTAATGTTCTACTCCTCCTTGAATTTTTCTACGCTTTCCGAAATTTGACTTGCTGGAGCACTTCCTTGCCACATCTTTCACCTACCTCTCGTTTCCTTCCTCACTAAGCATCTTCTGCTGTAGATCTTGTATTGGCGACGGACCTTTGTTTCACCATGGAAAAGAACTAATGATGCATTTATCTCCATGTGATTGATTGTTCACTGAAAAGTAAAACTCACAATATTTGAAAAAAATCCAGTTTTACACATATAATAGGACACAATTATATTGACCAATTGCAACATGCCTTTTTGGTAAATCAATCACGGCAGGATTAGAATGATGGTAGTAGTAGGATTAATAGCAGGACATTGGCAGCAATAACTGAAGTTATTGATATGTGCAGTGCAGTGCAGCTGATCAATCTTTGTTTGAATTATCCATTATAAATAAATAGACACAAAGAGAGGAGTGGCTGGTGGGGGGTTATTATCAGGTGGGCCATAAGCCCATCATCTCATCGGGAAAAATTTGACAAGCCGCAAGCTAGCAGGTATAGGCAGACGTTGCAAATCCATTCAGATTTAAGGAATTGACTCTTTTTTTTTTCCCAAGCAGATCTAGGTGGTGTGAATTATTAAATAATTCCCCCTGTATCTGGATCATCTCTACATTTCAGCAGCCACCATTATTGACCACCCACCATAACTCTCACCAGTTGCCCTTTTGAGGGAATTCTGTGTATTCGTATTGGATTAGAACGAGAAACTAACAACATTGGGGGTGGGTTGTATAGGTACGTACCATGAGACGGACAGACAGAATAGATTAAGACATTGCTTACATTACATGAGTTGACACTGGAGAGAATGGCTCCGAGCCCAGCCGATGATTGCGTTGTTAATACCCACCCCCACGCCCACGCCGCTACTAATACCTAACATTTCTATATCTATATCAATATTTATATTTATATTACTTATAAATGTCTGTAATTTATTTTTAATATAAAATAATATAATAATATTTTAGATGATCTAATCAATCTATTTAACAAAAAAAAAAATAATTCTATAATATAATTAGATAGACAAATGACTAAAGGGATTAGAAAAATACTTAAATAAATGACAAATTAATTATTTAAAGATTTATAGAATAAATAAATAATTAAAATATAAATTAATTATCAGGTACTTAATTTATTTTTTAATTTAATTACTTATATAATTAAAATTTTTTATTAAAAAATATTATTTAAATTTATTTATATGTAACACACCTCGTGTGTTACTGGCACATAAAAATTATGTTTGGCTGCATTGTACGGAAATGGACCTGATCCCATCATAGCCATGGCCCATAGGGTGCCCTTTTCTTTTGCTAAAAAAATTAGGAAACCTGTCTTCTAGAATTGCATCAATGATTTAAGTCAACCAAAAAAGAAAAAGTCAATTTGGCGTGGCATACCTAGAAGCATTAATCTGCACAAAAATGTCTAAGGGCTTAATTGATTGTTTAAAAAATTACACAATATCAAAAGCTTTCAGTCCTTTTCTTGGTTAGGTGAATGTGTGTTTATGAAAGGATAGCTGGAAAAAAAAAGACTCATACGGAAACCAGAACCTGCAAGCCGAAGCTCACTTTAGCTTGAGCCTTGAATCAATCAGCCTCACAGTGAGTGGATAACAGGGAATCATTAATGTACGAGGGATTTCTCCAACAACAACCTGGGTTTGCACTCAGCCGAAGACCTTGGGTCTCTTGAGTTGAACGATCTATCATTCACAAAGAAAGGTTAGAATGCTGGAGGTGTCTTCGCCATTTCTCCTCTGATGCTACAATCAATTTATGTGAGAGAAGTAAATACAAAGTTTAAGCTGGGTTCAAGTTACGTACCTTTGCTTCTTAAATTAGTCTCTTATTTATATTTGATAATACCTGAAAAGAATTCTAACAAAGTGTGAGTTCGAGAAGTAGGGTCAGGCAAGAAGGTCTGGAGCTCGTTGGTCCAGACCTCGAGCTCCCCTCAGGGGAGTGTGAAAGAAATAACTGGTTAATAGAAAGTGCTCCCAGCAATAGAAAACTATAATCAAGGCACAAGATTCTCAACTGACCGAAATCCTCTCTCAAAATCAAGAGAGATCCTACGAATGTAAGGCAAAGATCTCGCTGCAGATCCCATAGAGGTAGAAATTAGATTATAAATATTGTATAGTGCCTCCAATAGGGGGGGATCCCAATTGTATCAAAAACACTCTGTAAATCGTATATAAGGGAAATATACATCAAATGAGCAAGAGACTCTATTGAAAAGTGGACTAGCCGAGCTTTCGAGCTGGTGAACCATTATAACTTCACGGTGCAAATCATCCTCAATCCCATCAGAATCTATTTTCTAAGCCTAGTAGCTCAGACAATACCTTATTCTCGTACACCACATTCTACTCACCCGTGTTTCATACGCCATCAGTTTGACGTCATCTGTGGGAACGATTGTTCTTGTTACAAAAATACTGATATTTCAGTAACTGATGGTCTCGACACGTAACATGAGCAGAAGTCAGATGAATCCCCTATGGATGCAGGACCAGCAGGAGGCCAATAACGGTAGGCAACACGAGAATCTTCAAGATTTCTTCCCCACCGTCGAGGCTAATCCCCCCACGAATAACGAATTGGAGGCCCTTCGCCTAGTCAATCAGCATTTACTCCAGTAGAACAAGGAACTCTTGAAAACTCCTACAAGACCCTCAGCAAGCATGACCAGCCCAAGGAGCTCCCCTTTGAGGGGAGCATGAAAACCTCAACCCCCTCAGGGAAGCTAATGAAGGAGGAGAAAATAGTCGGGCTCCCTAGCCGCCTCTTAGGAATGGTAACAACAAGGAAGTGCAGAGTCAAAACGATGGGAACGAGAAAAATGATTTTTGCCATGTCCAATAGAAAAGAAAAGAGCAACGCTTAAGGGACATCCAGCAGGAGCTCAGTCACATGAAAGAAGTCGCGAGAGGTAAAACTTCCATAACAATGGATGTTTTGGTGCAGCAAACTGAGTCCCCATTCACCACTAGGGTGTTGCATTTTTTTCTCCCTCCAAAATACATAATGTCCCAAATAGAGGCATTTGATGGGACTAAAGATCCCATGGACCACTTCAACACCTACAAAAATCAGATGGAGTTGTATGGGTATCAGGACCCCGTGCGACGCCGAGCCTTCACCATCACACTGAAGGGCTCAGCCTTAACATGGTTCAACAGGTTTTCTCCGACATCAATCTCTTTCTTTAAGGAGCTCTCTATATCTTTCGTGTCTCATTTCACAGGGGCTCGAACCTACAAAAAGCCAAGCTATCACCTGTTATATGTAAAACAGGGGCCCAACAAAAATTTGAGATATTATGTCCAATAGTTCAATTCAGAATCCTTGAAGGTGGACGTTCCAGATGAGAAGTTCACCATCACTGCCTTCATTGCTAGTCTAGGAATGCAATTGAAGGATTTAATTTTCTCCATATCAAAAAATCCTCAAGCGAGCATGGCAGAAGTGCTAGCTAAGGCAAAAAAATATATTAATGGCGAGAAGGTCCTCCTTTCTAAGGTGGGGAGCTCATCATTACAGAAAGAGAAAGGGAAGGAAGAGAAAAAGAGGGACCGAAATCCCAGAAGAGAAAGAGAAAGAGGTAGGTCTCCAAGAAGAGACACGGAGCGCTCCCCCCTATAGAAGGGGAAATGTTAGAGATCGTTTGGGTTCTCCATAACCAGAACTACAGCTGAGGTGTGCACCTCAGTAGTTCACACCTCTCACCGCCACGGTGTCCCAGGTCTTGTACGAGGTGCAGAATGAAAAGTTCCTAAGATGGCCATGTTGAATGAAGGCGGATCCGGCAAAGAGGGATCCCACAAAGTACTGTGAATACCACAGAGATCATGGCCACCATACAGATGATTGTATTCAGCTGAAGAAGGGGATTGAATTCCCAATCCAACGAGGGTAACTGCGCCACTTCGTAGCACATGATAACTAGAATCGAGCTCTACCACCATTGGCACCCTAGCAGCAAGCCCCTACGCAACATCAATAACCTCTGGGAGAAATTAGAGTAATATCTGGGAGATTTGCAGGAGGAAGGGAGTCCAACTCAGCCAGGAAGGCTCACTTGTGCAGAATCAGAGCTGATGAAGCTTTGAAAGTGCATACTATGTCCAAGGGGCCACATTTAGACACAACTATCACATTCTTGGACTCAGACTTGGAAGACTGTCAGCATCCCACGATGACCCCTTAGTGGTAAGAGTCGTCGTTGCCAGCAGAACTGTCCATCGAGTCTTGATTGACAATGGGGGCTTTACAGATATCATTTTTGCATTTGCATTCGATAAAATGAATATGGGCAAAGAAAAACTTGAGCCAATAAGTGCTCATTTGCTAGGATTCTCAAGGGAAAGGGTACTACCCCTAGGATCAATCCAACTTGTGCTCATCCTAGGTGATCCTCCCTGTTAAGCCACCACTACTATAAGGTTCCTAGTGGTTGATGTACCTTCTGCGTACAATATCCTGCTTGAAAGACCTTCCCTCAACTCCATGAGGGTCATTCTTTCTGCCTACCACCTCGTTATGTAGTTTCTTATAGAGAATAGAATTAGAGTGGTTCGTGTAGACCAGCGTGTAACACGAGAATGTTACATGGAATTTGTGAAAAAAAAGGAAGTTGAAAATATCCAGTTAGATGAGATCGACATGAGAGACGAGCTGGATACTAGACAGATGCCATTAGAAGAACTAGGGTCAATTCAGCTCGACGAGGAACCAGAGCATCTAGTTTACGTGGGATCAAGGTTGAGTAGGGAAATCAAAGACCTTTCGATAAAATTCCTAAAAAGAAATGTGGAGATGTTTATTTGAAATCAAGAAGACATGAAAGGAATTGACACTTCAGTCATCACACACAAGCTCAGTGTGAACCCAACCTATAAACCATTAAACAAAAGAGAAGAAGTTTTGCCCCAGAGCACCAAAAAATAATCAATGAGGAGGTCAACAAACTTCTTTGTGCCAAAGTCATCAGAGAAGTAGACTTCCCTACCTGGTTAGCAAACGTGGTTCTTGTTAAGAAGACCAATGGTAAATGGCGCCTTTGCATCAACTCTAGTGGTCTCAACCGAGCCTGCCCTAAAGACAGCTTCTCTTTACCTCAGATTGATTTGATTGTAGATGCCACCACAGGGCAAGAGCTCTTTAGCTTTATGGACGCTTTTTTCGGGTACAATCAAATTAGAATGGATCCTAGTGACCAAGAGAAAATCTCCTTTGTGACAGAGCAGAGGACATACTGCTATTAGGTCATGCCTTTCGGACTAAAGAATGCTGGAGCCACT